GGGCGGCTGCGGCGCGGTGCGGCGCTGCCAGCATGCGTGTACTTGCCTCGTGTCTTCCAAAGCGAGAAAGGCAATGAGCTATCGTGGGGCATGGATGCGGATATAACCACTGCTGAGCAAATCTGTGTCCGCAGCAGGGATCCACAACCCTCCCGAAACGGCTGTTCTGGTGCAAAACCTGCTCTCGGGTGTGCAGTAGTCAAAATCCCACTGCTTATCCCCGGTGGAGAAGCCGGACTGACGTTTGCTGGGGCGCTTGAAGCGTCCTTGAGGCAGTGACTGCTGAAATGGCCTCGCTACAGAAGGTGATAAGAAATGCTCTCCTGTTTTATTTTTAGCCTCTAGTGCTAGCCAATTTTGAAAAACCCATCTCAGAGGCCCCCAAATTATCTCAACGTAAAAACCAGGCGCTAGAGGACGAGAGATGGAGGAAGGATGTGCTTGGAGGGAGGCAAGGATGTGGTGCAGTTTTTTTAAGCAGTTTCATAACTAGCAGTGGCCATATGTATGAATACCAAAACTGGAGAGCAGAAGTCATTTCTGTAATGTCTGGGTGCTCCTGCCTGGAAGAAGACCTTGTACTGCAGCAGGAAGAAGAGCAGCAGATGGGTGACCATCAGTGTCGGTGTGATCAGCATTGCGCGTCTGTGTGGAGCCCAGCTGACGCAGAGATACTTCTCCCAAGCTCAGGGACCTCCTTCTGTCCCCCGTGCTCCTGGCAGGCCAAGAGATCCAGCCTGCCTGCTGCAAACTCCCCCAGACATGAAGACTATGCTTAGATAAATGCTCTGCTCCCCAACGGTGTGAGCCCACTTGGTTTCAGATGGAACAAAAAGCTCCCGCAATGGGGCCTTGCAAGCACCTGGCACTGAGTGTGTTTGAGAAACGAGTGACGAAGAGACGAGGTAAATTGGGGCGTTCTGGTCATTTCCCTCCAAGACTTTAGGGAGATTTCCCTAAACAATTTGCAGGTGTCCCCCTCGTAATAGGTTTAGGAGCCAGCGTTCAGAACCAGATAGAGAGAACAGAAATAGGGTGACAAATAAGCCAGAGCGTCACGGAAACCGGGAAACCTCTTTACATGGTTAAAAATAAAGCGAGGCAGCAGAGAGTTTATTTAGGACACCTAAGAGTAAATCGGCTCATGGCTGGGGAAGTGCCAGTTTCCATTGACAATCCTAAGGCACCGAGGTATCATCATCAGTGAAAACAAGATGACTGAGTCATGGTTAGATAACAACGGAAAAATGCTTTTTCAGTCAAGCGTAGCCTTTGAACAGGCATCAATGACAATGTCAGACCAGTGCGCGTGTTGCGGTGGCTACCGCAGAGGAACCGCCGGTGAGTCACTCCGTCCCAGTAACGCCGGAGCCCTGCGCCCCGCTGCGGTCCTGCCACGCAGGAGGATGCCGGCGATGGCCCAAAGGGAACGAACACGGGCACTATGTCCTCTTGCAAAAGGTTAATGCAAATGCTCGGGCAAAATGAACGGTATCTGTGGCACTTGGTGTGTGGTTATAAGGAAGAGCTTGTCCCCCAGGGCTCAACCAGTCTGCGTTTCCCATCCCCTTTCCGGGCTGCGGGGAAGCCACTCAGAGCCACGTCAAGGTCAAGAGCAATTAGTGCAGAAATGGGCGGCACAGGGTGGCGTTAAGGAGCTGCAGAACGGCTGAGAAGCTGCTGAGCTGATACATCAAGATGATTTTGCAAAGGATGGTGTTACGTTTCTGCCGTTGCTGATATTTTCCATTGCGTCTTGTGGGTCAGAGCAGCTTAAACCATTTTCATGGCTGACTTGCCATGGCTGTTTTTGGTGAAGACTTCACGTAGGTTTGGAAGGAGCATGTATTATTATTATTTCTAGCTATTATTATTTGTGTTATATTTGAGACGCTGATGTGGGGCCAGGACCCATGTGCCAAACACAGAACAAAACGTGATTAAAGGGTGAGCCTAGGAGAGGTCATACAGAGGGAGGGGAACGTCAGAAATTTGGTAGCCCTTTATATTCACTTTGCGCTGTTATAAACAACCACATAAAATGCAGGTCAAGCGAGAATCAAGTTCTTCAAGTCCAGAGTGTGCATTCCCTTAGTGTATTTTGCTTTCTTCATTTTCATTACCACCCAGGAGACACTTCCATATTTCAAGGAGGTCGTTTGACTTAAAACTTTCTCTCTAAGTAGCACCATCTTAGGTTTTTAGCTAAGAAAGGTATGTATCCAACTTTTCAGCACTTCCACTGCGTATTGACCACCTGGGCGAGTGGGCGAAGCAGCCTGGCCACCCCATACGCACTTCTGGCTTGTTCATCTCGCTGCTTTCTATGCCCCAGTACATGGCTCTGTGCCAGGCTCTCAACGGTGAAGGAGGGGATGAAGTCTGGGGGAAATTGCACTGTATTTGGCTGACTTTTTTGCTTTGCAGGTGATTGGACCTGCAGCGTCGGAGGCTCCTGGCAAAGACCACGAGAGATCCCAGGGGAAGGGAAGAGCCCAAGCTTTGCAGGAGGACTCCAGCACCCCACAGAGCCCGCTGCCCCCGGTGGGTCTCTGCAAGGGCCAGCCTTTAGCCTCGCTCCTGGTGCCCGTGGTCGCCCACCCTGGGGGCTGCACGCCGGCCTCGCTCCAGTTCCTCTTCTACCAGCCGAACTGCCCCAACTCGTACTGCCCCTTCTACACTGCCCAGAAGCCCACCTGCGGCTACCTCTACCGCCGCGACACCGACCACACTAGGAAGGTGATGGATGTGCCGAGCGCCAACCTGGTGAAATGGAGACCCATCCCAGGGACGAAACCGCCGTTGGTGACAATAAACCCAAAGCAATGAGACCGGCAAGTGGTGTGACTTGGGCTTCTCATCCCCATGCCTGGCTTGTGGCCAGCAATGAGTGAATCGAGGAGTGGGTGGTTCGGTCACGTCACTCGCTCCACCAGAGAAACGTGCTATGTTGATTTTTGTTGTAAAAAGCCACTCAGAAGCGTGGCCTTAGCTCGCCAAGTCAGACCTGGGGGATTTTAGGCTCCTTTGGCTGAGCCTAAATTCGGCCGAAAGAAACCAAATAACGCCTTCTTTCACGAGGCTCTTCCAGACACTGGAAAAACTTTCTTAGGGAATGAAAAAGCACATTTCACTTGTGGTACTAGAAAACGGAGTTAGTAATTGCAGCTGAAATTCGCCTGTTGTGTTGCCTGCTCTGGAGAACCCAATGTGCTGCTATCTGCAGCTCTTGGTGAGCTTGTGTCCACCTTTAGTAAGCAACCTCTCCTCTGTTAATGCACGCCTATATATATTACAAACCTTGTCTGTACTTTAGTACGAAATATCCCCGAAATATCCCACTTTGGCTGGGTAGGTCAAAACTGAGTGCACCGTGCTCAGAAGTGCAGCAAGCAGCAGGGAGTTTATGCGCTGGCAAACGCAGCCTCAGTACACCCATGCTCCTGCAGCTAATCCCATGTTCATGACTATGTTACACTTGTGTAATGCCACCTATTTTAGCAGAGTTATGCCTAACTTGCTTCAGTGCGGAATCGATAACAAGCTGTGCAGCACATAAAAGTAGGGCTACTTGTCTTAAAGTTGTGCGCTATAAAAATACGAGTGCTGTGGGACAGACTCCCTGCTGGTAGAAATCCAGTAAGCGCACTGATTTCATCACTGGTGGGGGATCTGGCCCATGCTACTTTCTTAGGATATGCTTTGTTATCCCTCAGCCCTCCTCCGAACGCTCTGCTTCTCTGTACAAACACCCCTGCTTTCATCCGTACCCACATGGAGAATTTCAGCCAGAATAAGACTGAAGAAGACCAAAAAGACACCAACAGGACAGAGACTTCCGAGTGTTTTACTCTCTTTCTTCTTGGTCTGATTTTAGTGCCGAAGTTCCTGCCCATGCGGCAGCAGACAAAATCATAAATGAAGTGGATTAGGAGCTTACAGCGTCATGGAGAAAAGCCACCCTGCTAATCGCCGGCCGGGGCTGTAATCTGCGAGGCTTTCCCATTTTACCTCCTTCCCTATTTTAACCCTGAACTCTTGATGCCCTCGGTAGGAGCCATCACCGCCCCATCCCTCATTGGCGGAGAAAGGATTTGCCGGGTACTTAAGCGGCAGGGCTTTGTCTGAAGAGGGGTTTGTGCTTTAAAATTTGCCTTGGGACAAGCGTCTTTTGTGCCTGTCGCCCCCGACGCTGGCCTGGGACAGCCCGTGCACAGGCGGGTTTGGTTTTGGGGACACTTGGACTTTGAAGGCAAGAAGTAGAATTAAAAAAAGTCCCGAGACTTCAGAAAACATCCACAGAATTTCCCGTTTTGCCGAAAAGTGAGCAGCGCTTTGTGTGGAAATGGGGAACATGGACGGGAAAGCGGTGGAGGAGCTGAGCGCTACCGAATGCCACCAGTGGTACAAGAAGTTCATGACGGAGTGTCCCTCTGGCCAGCTCACCCTCTACGAGTTCAAGCAGTTTTTTGGCTTGAAAAACCTGAGTCCAGCAGCGAACAAATACGTTGAGCAAATGTTTGAGACGTTTGACTTCAACAAGGTAAATACTGTGCTTCCCCCTCAGTCTGGACATCGGCTGGATGTGCTCTGCTCTGTGTGTGACTGCAGGTGGTACGTGTGGCTGTGCAAATACGTGTCTAAATATATATGGCCTGATTCTCCATTGCCTCATATATTGTAAAATTAGTTACTTGATGTGAAAAATTGATATAAAACAATAGTCGACAAAAATTCTTCCCTTGCTGACTGTTCAGCAACATTTGGTGTTTCCTCTATCTTTTTACACAGAGCAGCTATACAGTTTTAAATATAATGGAGAGTCAACATCATGACATTTATGTGTGAGTGTGTGTGTGTGTGTGTGCGTTCAGAACACAAAAAGCCAGCTATGGCAATGGAGGAAAAAGAAAATAGACTTCTCTCAGTACTTCCCTTTAAATTAAACTGTAGGTTTTTATCTGATAGTCCATAATCCCTTTAAAACAGAGTATCCTTTAATCCCCAAATACCTCGTGCCGTGACAGTACAGAACGAGCAAACACACGGCACGAAGGGACAAGTGCCGCGGTCCCGCAGAGACACCGGCTCCCGGGCTGTGCGCTGCGGCATGATCTACGGCTCCGGAAACAGACGGAGTTTGTTTTTCTATTGTTTTAAATTATAGACGGATTATAGTTTCATGGATTTTCTTGCATGTGCTCAGCAGCGGGGCTTTGCTCTCGGGGTGGTCGGTGCAAACGCGCGGCGCTGCTTGCACGGGGACCCCGCCGGGGCCAGCCGCTTTTCCCAGCGGAGCTGGTGCAAAGCGACAGGGGTCACGAAGGGCCAGGGCTCGCTTAATGTCCCGCTTAATGGGTATGCGAGGTGTTTAAAAAGAGATAAAACGACTGGTACCTGTGCCTAAATACACAGAAAGCAGGTGCCAAGCCACAGGGAGAAAAATTCACTAAACAAACGTCTGCCTCCTTCTAGGTTAACAGTAAAGGGTAAATTTTGCAAAACAAGCCTGAATGAGCCAGGGGCTTAATTCCCACTGAAAATAATACAATTTAGGCCCTGAATCCGTCAGGTGCTTTTATCTGTGCCTCGGGCTTTACCTGTGCTTGCTGCCCCGCGCCTGAACGTGCGCCTGGCAGAGGGCCGGGTGCGCGGGAGATCCCGGCTGCAAGTGGGGCTTAGCAGCCATTTATACCTAATCTGGGGATAAAGTAGATGATCTTTGCTGTAATCGAGCCTGCAGTGCAGTGGGCTTGTTCGGTGACAAAACACGGTCTCATTCACCCCAGAGGACTCGCGCCCGATGCCTCCATGGGTTAAAGCCTTCTGGGGGGTCATTTCTGTCTGACTCTTTGCTTCTAATCTAATCTGGCTTCCACCCTTCTGCTTTCAGGACGGCTACATCGATTTCATGGAGTACGTGGCTGCTCTGAGCCTGGTGCTGAAAGGGAAGGTGGATCAGAAGCTGAGGTGGTACTTCAAGCTCTACGACGTGGATGGGAACGGCTGCATCGACAGGGGAGAACTACTCAATATCATCAAAGTGAGTGGTCCCAGCTTTCAGGTCGTCACAGGAATATTCAGACCAGGCTGGACGCCTTCGCCCTTCCTGCTCTGGCATGCACCAACCCCTTTTATTCCTGTTGCAGGTTGTTTAACTACATCCTCCTAAATCCAAGTTGAGTTGAGCGTTTGAATTTAAGCTAAGGATTTTCAGAGCTAGATGACTCCTGAATTATCCAAATAGGCCACTTAATCTTTTAATGCATTTATTGCATTTTTAAGTGGTTTTAATCTCCAGTTTTTAAAATGAGCTTCTTTATTCCTTTCAGAACCTAACTGCTGGCAAAGAGCTTGGCCTCTGATGTCATATCACTTAGATGCTTATACTGATAAATATATAAATGTATATACCATATTCATTGATTGTTCTGTATGTCCTTTTCCTCCAGGCTATTCGCGCTATCAACCAGTGCAATGAGACGATGACAGCCGAGGAGTTCACCAACATGGTGTTTGATAAAATTGATATCAACGGAGATGGTGAGGAACCTTTTCTCATGCAATGCCAAACGCTGCTTTTACCTTTTGCCCTTGCGGGCAGTTCGGCTGCAATGGCTTGGGGATGGTTTGGTTCCTCGACCCAGAACCGCAGCAGGGCCCCATGTTACAGTCCTCGTCCATAACCCCCCTCCCCGTCTCACGGCCCCTTTCCGTGCCCCTTCTCGCAGGTGAGCTCTCGCTGGAGGAGTTCATGGAGGGCGTGCAGAAGGACGAGGTGCTGCTCGACATCCTCACCCGCAGCCTGGACCTGACGCACATTGTCCAGCTGATCCAGAACGACGGGAAGATCCCGCAGAGCCTGGAGGAGGCAGAGGAGGCTGCCCAGTAGGCTCCTGGGACACGCGCGCTTCAACTTCACTTTTTTCCCCCTAATGTTATTAAAAAGAAACAGGTTGTGGTCGCAGGAGCCGGTGAGCTGCCCCAGCCCCAGTGTGATCAGGCATTAGAGCATCCCGCTAGCGCAGGATCATGATCCCCTCCAGAGGGGTTGCTCCTGGGGCAGGTGCAGCTCAGGATGAGCCCGATGCACGCTGGCCCCCAGTCCGGGACCTACGAGGGCAGAGACGAGTGATGAGAGACTCCCCAAGGAAGAGGGAGCTGCCGCGGTGGCTCCAGGCTCCAGGCTCCAGCCTCCCCAGGACTGGCTGGCAGGGGACCTCAATGGCTCCACGAGGGTCCTGTGCTCTCCGGGTGCCTCTGGAAATTGGTGCTGTGTGGGGAGGATAGTGAGGAGGAGACCCCTGAGGCCAGACAGCCAGACTGCAGGTAGCTGAGGATTTAGGAGAGCAGCAAAAATTCACACTGGGCTGGTGGTCAGCACTGGAGGCTGCGTGATGTGCAAGTCCTCACCAGCCCGGAGACCCTCTGCTCCTTCATGGAGACCTAAGTTGGGTGCAGACTTGGTAAAATCAGTAAAACAAACTGTTAATCTGGCTGCAAAGACCTGCATTGACCCTCTGCACAGAAACAAGAAAGTAAGAGCAATAGTAAATGTGTATGATCAAGGCTGGGTCTTCACAGCATTTGCTTGAAATTCATGGTTTTCCTGCTAGTCATATCAGCATAGAGGCCAGGCTTGATAGGGCTGTTTGGAGCAAATAAGCAATAATGGTGAAATCTAGCTCTGCATGGGTGTCTACAAAACGGCAGGACCGAAATCCTCCACATACGGTTGAAATGATGGATGAGACACTGTGAGCCCTCCGCACGGGGACAATTTGCATCCTACCCGAACAGAAGGACACTCACATTGCAAACAAGTCTGTGGGTGCACAAGGTGAAAGGAAACAGTGTCATGTTTCGGGAAGTTTTTCCAGCTATTAGTGACACCTCTTCCTTCAGAGAAAATAACATGTATACACCCAGAAAAGTCCCCTGGGCAGGCAGGTGACCAGCAACCAGAGGAGCAGTTAGGGGCACGGGAGCGAGCTGTAGTCTGTTTCTGGCAGGGAAGTGAAAGGGCTGCTGCCCATCGCTTTAAGAGCTGCATCAGAGCACATTGCACCAGCTGTGGAGGGAGGACAGCAACCGGTGCCAGCTCTGGTCTCGCCCAAACCAGGGAAACAACCTTGGCAGAGCTGGTGCTGGGATGCTGCAAAAAGACACAACCTCTGCTGAGGACAAGAGTGTGGAGGTGGCCCCGGTGACACCTGGAGAGAGAAGGTCCCAAAAGGAGACGTGCAAAAGCCAGAAAGCAGAGCTGAACCTTCTCTTTCTGTGCATATTCCCAGAGCATCCTCAATATTTTCCCAAATAAGCAAACGAGATCAGTAATTCTGGTCACTTGTTCTTTGATTTATTGTTATTAGATAAACAGTCTTTAATGACGATATAGATAAAAACACCTGTGAGCTAGAACAGGAAGCGTAGTGAGTGCCGTGGTTTTCCTTTACTTTCTTTTAAAGCATTGGAAACATAAAATGGTGCCTTTTTTTACCACTGTCTGAACCAGTCAAACAAAAACTTCAACGCTCTGTTTCTCCGGGAAAGGGCTGCAGTGGCAGGGACTTGAAAGGGAGCAGTTTTGCATGCGCTTGCAGGAATATTCCTGCATGTCTTATCATCTGCCCAAAAGATTTCTCAAACACTCGTTCGAGTTGCCCTCCCGGGCACCCGCGGCCTCTGGCCGGGTCGCGCGGGGCTGCGCTGCGTGTGCTCCCGC